TGTTTACCGCTGGTATTAGGCGCGTTACCCAATGTGCACCACGTGGAGGTTGCCGGTCGGATTGTGCACATCGCGCGCGTGTTCACAGTGTACAGCGGTAATTAATCAGAGAGGAGGTAATACACAATACCCAACGCTCGCACGCGCGCACACACACACACACACACACACACGCGCGCGCGCGCGCGATGTGCACATTCCGACCGGCAACCTCCACGTGCACATTGGGTAACGCTAATACCGGCGGTAAACATCATTTTTCAAGAAAATGCATGGTTCGCTTCAAAGTCATGTAACTCGGTCAAGAAAAATCGTAGGAAAATTTTAAACAGCATTTTGTAGGTAAAATGTTGTAGATTGTGGAACTTGTATCAAATTTGTCGAGAGAAATTTTTTTATCGAGCTACAGTGTGTTAAAAATACGTAATTTTAAGGAACAAAACAATGTATTCTTTTTTAAAGCACAGAACGAGGAAGATGAATATATCGAAATAAATCATTGACAGAGTTTTAAAGTTGAAACTTCAAGCTTTAAGATGCTTTTTTAATTTTGTGTCTACGATTATTTTTCGCCGAGTTTCAGTGATTTGAAAATAGGCCAATTTTTAGGGTATGAAAAGTGTTCCCTATTTTTTTTTAGTAGTGTACGTTGGAATCTATTTTGCACTAACAACATGTACGTGTTACTAACAATTGTAAATTGAATCGATTCGAATTGTACATATGTTAATCTTGTAACTAAGCATTTAATCTGATGTTAAAGGCTAATGGACCAAAACACACCGATTAAATTACTTTATTGTCTACATCAAACAATTACTAAATGAATATAACTAAATTATTGTTACAGTGAATATTATCAGAGATATTTTCCTTTCTCTTGCAAACAATAATTATACACAGTTGAAAAATTTATATTTTCTTGTTAAAAATGTGCCGTTTAAAATTTTGCAAGGTGTGCACTTAGTTTTAATTTTACACAATGCATAACACATTTTACATGTACAAGAACTCTATGTATATATTTCTATATATCGTCCCTCTACTTCCCCGTCTTTCCCCCGCGCCGCAGAAACTCCTCGTCGAGCTACTCAAAACTCTTGTTAAAAGTATTAGAATAATACCATGTGATTAACATAACTAAATTCCTTCTATCGGCGATTTATTCCCTCTTCTTCTCAAATTTGCTATATGCAAGGTAAGAATAATTCAGCTAGAAAATACATCGCGAACAATAGGCCCTCGTAAGGTTAAAGCAACCATTGCATAACCATCTTGCACGGAAAAAAAACATTTAGCTGCTGTAGCTAAAACTTAGTAAAATATGGACAGCTAATATTTTTAGTTGTGATAGCTCAATATTTTGCTGTCGCACCTAATACAATAGGCACAGGTGCGACAGCAAACGGTTTGCTGTCGTAGCAAAATATTGAGCTATCACAACTAAAAATATTAGCTGTCCATATTTTACTAAGTTTTAGCTACAGCAGCTAAATGTTTTTTTTCCGTGTGACGTAGAATTTATTTATTACATAAGGAGATTATCGCGATAAAATGGAGAATAAATTGCGCATATAAAATATCATCTTCCATATAACTAATCTCGATTGGCTGTGGTTTTTTCTTTACTCTTTTTTTGTTACCCCTGCCATTTGTCGTCTGCGAAAATAGAAACATGCATAGAGAACAAATCATTGGCTCGACTGTGATCAAAGATATTGTATAATCGTAGCAAAAAGTAACTGATCTTTTTTTCCATCCGCTTCAATGATTTGCATTAACGCGGTTTTTCATAACCACACGAGTAAATTTTTTGCAAATTAAAATTTTTATATAACTCGTTATTGCTCCAGTGAAACGACAAACTGTAAAATTTTGACTGAATTCCCAATATTTCACAAATAATACCAAACATTTTTCAAGCATGCATCCTTTTTCACGCATTACTTGTAAGACGTTCAATTACGACACTCGCTGACTGGGCCATTGGCCTTGAAGAAAGCAGGGTCCTTTCATTGGGCCGATTTGACTTTTTCTTTGCAACTCGCTCCGAGTGCAGGAACGATACCAGTATAGTCTTGACCGGCTTATCATATTCCGTATATATACATGAAAGGACACAATTTCTCAGATGAGGCAGTTCCCCGTCTTCCGAGCACAGCGACAACTCGTACCGTCGCGCTTCTACGAACCGTCGCTGTTTTAACGCGGCTTTAGAATTTTCGTCGTTTCCTCCAATTTTACAACATTCTGTAGTAACTGCACTGTTGTTGCGAAAGAATCGACACGGACGACCGCTGGATTCTATTGCGTCATCGCCAACAATTTTTCCACCTTTTCTTATGTACGTAAGCAAGATATTTTTTAAATCGATATAATCAGTTTTTATTATCTTAAACTCTGAAGATCGTGAAATAAAATTCTCTAATACATTAAATAATATTAGTCTGAAATTTTCCATGAGACGTCCAAACATTCTTCAGAATGGTTTTACTTAGTTTATTAATGCTATTATGTCGACTTCTGTATAATCCGTTGTTACAACGTGCGTTCCGTTTCACGCATGATGCGCATGATGCATTATTTATCCCTGTTATTCGCCAAATGTTAAAGAAGGATAAATGATGTATCATGCATATCATGCGTGAAACGGAACGCATTGTTACGCAGTAATTTTTTTGGAAAGCGGACACTTTATCGTTGCTGCAATCTTATAGTAATCCTTCCAGCAACATTTATAGAATGTCACGATCTTGCAATAAAACGTATAATATTCTACTATAATATTCCTGCAATCTTGCTGTGCTGTACGAATATATTGACATATTACTAAAAACGAGACGCAACACGTTTTATTGCCTCTTGATCTAGACGACACATTGTTAATGCGTAAAAACGCGTTCATACATTATTAAATAGTTAATTAATGCAGCACACATAGTATTCGCCTTTGTGTTGGTGATACTGTTGGTGATATCAACGACCACATGATTGATGACGACAATTCTGCTGGAGTGCACATTGAAGAGCGATGTTTAGTCGTTTTATCCCTTCCACGATACACATGACGCGATATTCTTGACCGCAGTTTGCCTCGTAACCGGAGTATTGGAGGATGAACCGTGCAGAACAGTTAGGTGTCACATGAAGAACACAACTTGCCGAAAATATGGATGCATTACGGTCGAACGGAAGTATTGCCGACGTGTTGCGTTGTGAGTAAAAGCACGGTGATAAGATAATAGTGACGAGAGTTTTCGTACTTACAAAGTTCAAGCAAACGTGAAAATAAAAACCGAGTGTTTATCTTCTCAGAGTTCTCATGTGCGATTTATCGTTGCGACAGCGGTAAAATTATTATTTTTTTGTATTGATATTTACAACCTTATCGTATTTTGCAACGAATAATGATAACCATTTTTCTTTGCGAAGGAGGAGGGTCATACAATACATTGCATGGAGAAAAACTTGTCCAATATATGAACTCTTGTGTTTTTTTTTTAGAATCGAATGACGTTATCGATTTTTGTATAACTAGTATTTTTAAACAAATTATTCAAACAATTGGAAAATCAAATTTTTTTTAACGAGAAATTATTTGGTCAAATGCTGTCATCCCAATATTAACCTTTCAGCTATATCTATTGGTTTTGGTTTATCCATGGACCTTATTGGGTTAATTTAAATGTCCTAACTAGGAGTTCTCTTTAAAATAAAGGATTCGTTCTTCTTTGCGGACGCAAGCATAATAAAATGTGCAAAGAAAGTTTTATTTTAAAGCTGAAGTACCGAGAAAAATGATAATTCTGACACATGTTGTAGTGCATATATTGGATTGATGCATAAGTTCGTTCAGTTTTTAAACCAAAAATTTCATACCTATTATATTTTGTCGATGTACATTTAATCAGTGATACATACAATCTCACGAGTTATTTTCTGATGATCAGTTTCAATCGAGGCCAAGATTTCGTGGCCGGTTTCGGAATTTCGGAAGGCCGTCCAGAATGTTTCTCATTCGTGAGATAAAAATTTCCATCACGGAATCGTCGGAATCATTTACGAACAGTGGAATCATCAATAGCATCTTTTCCGTAGGCGGAACATATTTCTCTTTTGGTCTGAACAGCAGTTTTGCCTTTTCGAAAATAAAAAAGCATAATATGCCGAAAGTGATGCTTATTTTTATCCATCCTTATAAATTTACGCGGCTCGCAAACATCAATCGACGACAACAAATTTGACAGTAAAGTTTCCGTTTAACTGTTACTTTCAAATTCATATAAGTGTGAGGTTGATAGCAGTTCGGAGGTTCAAAAACCGGTTTTAGTGACCTTCCTCCTTCATTCGTTAAAATCTTGCACCGTAAATGCACCGTAGACCGGTATTCGAAATCAGATCTTATATTCAAGACTGCCTTGAACTTATTCAAAGATGCTATATGGAACATTTCATTGGCTACGGAGTATTTAAAAGTGATCCTAAGACAATCTTGAATACAAGATCCGACTATGAATACCGACCATAAATATTTTTATGTACGGTACAATGTGTAACACAAAATAGTTTCACATTCTATCACAATAAAAAATTAAACTCAGAGTCCGGGAACTTTCGTTACATACCGTATTTTAACGTGTTGTAATGTTAAATATTATATACACGTTAATTAAAAGAACGCAATGTAGGGGGTAAGAAGTACCACACGCTAGATATTAGGTGCGGATATAACAAATTTATATTATTTATTTGAAACTAACAATATCAAACGTTTCGACCAGCTCACGTCGTCCTTTTGTCTGGCTCTTATTGCCCCCTACATTGCGTTCTCTTAATTAATGTTTGTTACATAGAGCCTTAGAAAAATTATTGTTTTACTACGTAAAATTATATACACGATTTTATTAGTGGAAATTAAAAATGTTATGAGATGGTTATAACTATATTTATTATTCTTCAAATAAATGCTTACGGCTGTAAAATATAACTATTTATAATTGTAATTTTGTTGTTCCTATTACTGTTATTATGACAGAAACATGTTACTTTTAATCTGTACAAATTGTTTTACAAGCAATATTTAAATATTCTATTGGAATATTTGAAAGCAAGAATTTAACGAACACAAACAAACGTGTTCCTGCCTATCTTAAACGAAGAATGATAACAGACATTATAAATACATTCAAGCTACTCTAGATTTATCTCTCTGTCGTTCAAATTTTATCTTATAATATCGTTAAACGATAAATAAGATATCATAAATAACTTAGTTTCGAGCAAAAATAAAAATATATTTAAAACATTCTGTTTTCAAATTAAGATATTTATGTTGAATTTCATGGAGAAACAATGAAGAATATAGCAGCCGTTATAAATATACAGTAAAAAATTAGTTTTAATAAGAAATATTAAACTGCTATGATATTAAACAGTGGCTGCGAACAGCAAGTTTCGGGATAAAAAACTGTAATATATAATTATAAATCTGCATATACCAGCTTACCTAGTTACAAATTATTCCACAAATGCAAGAGCTTGAAGCAACAATAAATATGAAAAAAGTTTTAATGACTACATTTGTTGCTACTTTGTGCACTACTTATTTGTATACTTTTTTCCACTGATGCAATGCGAAAGAACAAAATGCGAATATCTGCATGAAAAATAAATGAAACATTCATTGATCATCTGTTACTGATTTAATCAGCAGAGTTTTTACCGATTTAGTTTCGATAAGATTAATGCTATAGTAAAAATCAAAGTTGTGATTAAAGATTTCAATTTAAATCGAAATTTAAAAAGAGTTAAGAAAAATTGAAATATTAAAATACCCAAGAATTTATAATAAAAAAATTTATCGAAAACTAATGTAGACAAATATTATTACAGCATGTGTAAAAATTACCTACCGTTTACCATGGAGGCATCAAACTTTTGTGTTTCATTTATTTAGGTGAGGTCAAAAGAACCTTTAATATGTCGAAAACTAGCACGATACCTGGTTTGTCTTACCTGCCGGCAAGAGAAAATCTGTCGAATACCGCATGGGGTTTTCTCGAGGCTAGGAGGAAGATCGACGGTGCGGAAGGGCTGTGGAGAATCAAAAATAAACTTTACGATTTGGAAACCTTCGCGAAATCGCATCCAGGTGGGTCCGAATGGATTCGACTTACGAAAGGAACCGACATCACCGAGTTGTTCGAGGTATTGAATTGAAGTCAAAAGGAAGTCGCAACGTTTGCCGCTACAATTCTTGTATAAGCAAAGACGAATTTATGAACTTATATTTCGAATTCTAACATTAATTCTATCACGTAGAGTCACCACATCACTGACAAAGCCGATCGATTGCTACCAAATTTCTACGTTCGCGAAGCCACGAAGCCACGATCAGTGCCCTTGACTTTTTCGCCAGACGGCTTCTATCACACATTCAAGAGACGCGCGGTAGAGGCCTTAAAGAACGTCGATTTCCATAAACCATCCACGACGACGAAGCTCATCACCGATTCCTTGGCGGTTGCAACTTTCGCGCTGAGCCTCACGGCTGCTCTCGTCCACTCTTACGTTATTATCGTCCTCGCCAGTGAGCATTTATAAAATTATTTATAATTGAGATATAAATTGAACTTATAAGTAAATTAATTATAGGACTGTGTTAATTACAATCATCAAGAGCGAGCGTATTAACCAGTTGGTTTATTTGGCGATAACACTAGGTGTCTTTTTGACGTGGACGTCCATCGCGGCGCACAACTTCTTCCACATGAGAGACAGTTTTCGGATGTATTATTTCGATCTCTCGATGTTATCCTCGAAAAGTTGGCGCATCACGCACGTCATGAGCCACCATATGTATACCAACACCATATGGGATTATGAGATTTACGCGGTCGAGCCGTTTTTACAGTGGATCCCTCGCAAGGATAAACCCTACTTAGCGGGAATGATAAGCAGGATTATTAGTCCCATCGTCTGGATGTTGCTCTTCATTACCGAAGGACTCAAACGGTAATAGAAACTTAATTTCACTGAAACGTAATTTTAATGTACAATTTTAACGCCCCTTTCATGAAATTATGAGTTTCAGATTTTTTATCTTAATTAAAAATCTACCTGGCACCGAGATGGTAGCCGAATAGATTTCCAACTCTCGTGCTGAAAGATGTAATTGTTTCTAGATACTACTTAATATTCAAGGAGTATCATGGGGTTTTCGAGTTTCGCGATGTCGTGCCGCTCTTGCTGCCTCTATCGATGTGTTTTGTGGCGCCCAAGATCCTCGTCGCTCTCAAGTTGTGGCTGATAATGATACTAATCAGTAGCGCCCTGTTCGGCCTGGTCGGTTTCAACGCGGCCCATCATCATCCTGATATCTTTCACGACGGCGATACCTACAGGTTACTACATATTGCTCGCGTTTCTGTTTTAAGGAAACTTTCGTTCTCTGAAATTTTTCAATCGCTCTTGAATCGATCGGATTTTTTTGTTTTCTCTCTATTGAAAAATAACTCAAGTAAAATAATGTAATATAAAAGTTAATTCAGGAAAAATAGCATATTGATCTAACTGCATTATTTCAAATATAGATCTGGTATCAGTTCAATCTCGATGTAATCTTCGCACGATTTTGAATTCGACTTTAATTGATATTGACTTGGATTTCAATGTCGATCTGCCTGGTATCAATTCCAGTTTTAATCTCGGCGCGATTTTAATTTTTCAACGGCAAAACGCTTCTATTCTATCCCCAAAGAACTTAGTACATTTCTCTAATTATTGCAACATCTCCAAGGAACGACCTGGACTGGGGTCTGTTCGAGGTGGATACCGTGCGCGATCGCGAGGTGATCGACGACTCGATCTTCCTAGCGCTCACCAACTTCGGCTCGCACACGTTGCACCATCTGCTACCCAGCGTGGACCATTACTATCTGCAATTATGCGTGCCCGCTTTCCTGCAAACGTGCGAGGAATTCCGCGTCAGCTCGGATAAGTGGACGCAGTGGGAGCTTATTAAAGGACAATTCAGGCAGCTCGCGCGAACTGACGTGAAGAGGAACTGCAGGTAGCGCTCACCCTCGGCGTGATCGATCACGGATGTCGAATTCTTAAGCACTAACATGAGGACTATTTTTATATACTTAAAAAGTTTACATCTCAGTTTGTGAACAAGCACCTCGGGCGAATAACGATGAGTGCAAATGGGTAATTAAAGTAACAATTATGCGCGCAATTTGCCAAGAGTTTCGCAAATTGGCATAAGACTGTATCTGGATGTGAGATGGACGAATAAATTGATAATTTTATTCCATTTGATTTGAAACATAAAAATCGCGGGGTTACCGTCACGCGCCAAGTACTTGAGTCGTCAATGCCAAAAATTACTTTTAACTGTTACTTCGTATACAATTGTAGATTATATTGTACATTAATAAATTAAACTAACCATTAAACATTAACCGATTTGTTCTCGTGTGGCAAAGATCGACACGGGACGCTCGACGTATCCCTACCTCGGAAGTTTACGGGTGAGTGATCAGCAAGCGGGGCGATTTAGTTCTTATCTTTATTTATTGCTTATTTACTTTAATAAATACATACGTCGTCTCTCTTTATAAATTATAATTAAGTTTATAGGATACGATATCATTTTCGGATGACACGTGTAATGATACGCGCTGTTGATCAAACGTTCATCACGACTCCCTTTCGTTCTACCCCCCGCGAGTGAGCCCCTTTCCCCGATCTCGTTTCCAATTCGCGCTCGACTTTCGCTCGCTGACGTGCCGCACGACTCGCGAGAGCGTAAACGTGTATTCGTCGCCCTGTTCTCCCCCTCCCCTCCCCCCTTTCGTCTTCTGTGTATGCGTGTGCGTGTAAATATTAATATATCTGTCGCGCTGGCTCTCGCCCTCTCGTCGCCCGCTCGCGTGTCCTCTCGCTCGATCTCTCTCGCTCACACCCACTCTCACTCTCCCAATCTCTCCCTCCCTTTCTCTCCCCCGACTGTCAGCTCGAGTGGTGAGGAAACGCATCCCCGCCTCCCTCCACTCTCACCCTTAATCCTCCCTCCTTCTCGAGCGAGCGCCGATTGTTCCTTCTCCGCTTTTTCTCCACTTGGCCGATCGAACAGAAAAACATTATTATCGAAAAAGATGACGAGAATCCCATGATCCGGATGTGATGATGTTTTGACCGATCGCTCGTTTGCGAGATGACGATGCCGTTGAGAAGCTCCGAGCGAGCCCTCAGATTCGTTGTATATAAATATATATATATATATTCGTGTCTTCGTTCGACGATGGACTCGATGAGGACGATGATGTTCTTCCTCCTCCTCCTCTTACCCCTCTTATTCTCCGGATGTTTTCTGCTGTTAAATTTTGATTTAATTTTTTTTTTTTGGGTTGTTTTACTAATTATTTACGCGAACCTCGGAAGGAGCTTTACAGTTCACCATCGGGCATGTCGAAGCCGGGAAAACGGCGAGGGAATGGGGCACCATCTAACATAGGTCGGTGTGGCTGAAAGAAGAGAAATACGAAGCGTAAGCCCACCTGCGTGTCACAGATAAATATGAGAGAGACGGTGTTCGCGTGGATTTTTAATAGATACAGATTTTCACGAATTCGGAAAACACAGTTTGGAAAAAAAAAAGGAAAACGACGGGGTGGGGGCGAGTGACACGTTCTCTGTGTCGTTTCTGCTCGTGACTCAACATTCCTTGTTTCTCTAATACCCTGCACTCGAAATGCGCGAGTGGGATTGCGATTACGCACACCGAAGGGTCGTGACACCTTTATGTCGCCGCGCGATAAGTGCGGAATGCGCGCATTAGCTTCTTGTTTTTTTTATTTTTTTTTTTAGAAAGGAGAGATTTATCCCAGACACTCATAACTCGTGAGTATTAGTTACAATTTCTCTTTCTATTATTTTTTTTGTTTGAAAAATCAGAATTAAATTGCAGTTCTTGTTGATGGGCGAACTGTCCGCGTGTTGTTAAGTGCAAGGGTGAACAATGACGACATATTGACAAAGGAACCTTTCTGGCGTGAAAGAAAATGAAATAAAAAAGGCCTGACACGAATCGGGGCGAGAGTCACCGTAAAAGAAACTTAAATAAATTGTGAGAATTTGAGGGAATCGGTACGCATATTCAGCATCCTTGATATAAATTTTGGTAAAACGGGGAAATATAAAAATGTTTTAGGGTGATTTGAAGAAAGACATTCGAAAGAAATTTTCTATCCTATGCTGGATCTGATCAAAAAGTATCTGAAATACTGTGCCTTAGAGATTGAAACTGACGTAGTAGACAATACTTTTACCGTATTAAAAATTTATATTTCTTATCCGAACGTCTAAAAAAAAAATAACAAGTACCTTCGTGATAAATTCATCTCTCGGATCATCTGTTTAACTTTCTGCTCTCACAGTTATTAACTTAACCGACACTCACTAAAATGCACAACCGGTTAAATTTATTTCCTACATATTGGCCGATTCCGTTAGCTACTTTTTCACACACAATTGTTGCTCGGCCCCTAACTGCTCTAATTTCTACACGGCGTCTAACGACTCGCGACTGAATACGGCACGGAGATGAGGACGAGATGTGCGAGTTACACAGAGTTAATGACGAAGAACAAGCACGGGCCCATCCGAGAAATTGTTATCGGACACACAGGTGCAAACGTAACAGTGACGAATGCAAGAGGGAGTCTCTACCGCGCGTGTTTATCTCGCGTTTCGTAAAGCCCTGCTTACGTAAAACTCTAATCATTCTTTCTCAATCTCCTCCCCTCTCTTTCTCTCCCTCTCTTTCTCTCTCTCTCTAACTATCCAACCAACTATTATGTTCTCTTTCTAAGTACATCCCTTACGACACCCCACGTGCACGGACTTACATGGACCAAGCGCGGTGTGTGTGCGTCTACTCCATCGCGGAGGGCACCGCCTTACGTTTCTGTTGCGGCTGCACACAGGAAGACACAGATCGCTAATTAGACACCACCCTCGATCTGTTCCCCGCACCGCTCCCCGTTCCCACAATTGAGATTGCATTCCCCTCTTGAGAATCGCAATCGCCAAATCCCTCTCAATCTCCCTATCGACGCGATATGAATTCAAGTACGATTCACGGCTTCTAATGACCCTCTCGATAAGAAATTACTTTACTTCGCAATGCCTAGCGGAAACCTGAAACGATTCTCGCTCTGGCAAGACGTGATATATTTTACATTGGAAGTTGCATTATTAAGCTACATTGAAAACTTTTGATCAAAGTTAAACACTGTCAAGTAAAGTAAAATTAGTGACGTTAAATTTGAAAATTATTTCGCTTGAAGTTAATTAAAGACTTTCTTTGGACGACTCGATAAATGTATTCATTATTTTATTTTATTATCGAGAATACCATCAATTTATAAAGAATCTAATTGTATTGCCAAAAATTTACCGGAGAAACGTCGAAAACAATCGACCAGAATCTTTCCAAGAGATCTACTGTTAATCTTTAATTCGCAACATGATTGTTTCCTTGAATTCTTCCATAATACTGTCCATGAGATAAGATTTCTAGTCGAGACATATTTATGAAAGATATTCAGCAATAGAAGAATTAGAAAATGAAAAGGAAGTATATAACATCGCAATTTCGAATTAAAGATTAAGTTAGAGGACGGCGATAAGACCGACACGATTTAATAGCTTACCGCTGGGCTGAGTCCACGCGCGGCACTTCCGCCGCGTCCCTTGGTGCGGAACTTGGTGATTGCCTGCTCGGCGAGATCCGCTCTCTCCTCGGCTTCCTCGAGTTCCTGCTGTGCCTTGCGGAACTTGGCAAGATTCAGCGCGGCGATCTCCTCCGCCTCCTCGATCTGCCTCTTGTACGTCTTGATCTTCTGCTGGAGCTTGTCGACCAGATCCTGCATGCGCTCATGGTTCTTACGGTCCTCGTCCGCCTGGAAAATGAGACGTGGTCACTTTGGTAAAACTTCTTTATGCAAAGAATTAAGTCGACGATAAAGTCAAGCGAAACGGAGAAAGAATTTGACAGATAGGAATGAAAAGCTGAGTGTCCCGCGGTTATGTAAACGTTACAATCTAACATTTGTGTTACGGATTACAAAAAGTATAATTATTGTTTTAAAAAAGCAAAATAGTAGATTGATGATGAATTGGGATTTTACCTGGAAGCTCAGCTCCTTGATACGGCGCTCGGACTTGCGTAAGTTCTTCTGGGCGTCGGCGTGTCTCCTTTGTTCGCCGTCGAGCTCGTTCTCCAGCTCGCGCACGCGCTGCTCCAGCTTCTGAATGGCCTTCTTGCCGCCCTTGAGAGCGTTCGCCTCGGCCTCGTCCAAGCGCACTTGCAGCTCCTTGATCTGCGTCTCCAGGGCCTTGCGTAGCTTCTCCTGGGTCTGGGCGTGATCCTGCTCGGCGCGCAGCTCGTCGGCCAACCTGGCCGCGTCCACCATCGCCTTCTTCGCCTTCTCTTCTGAGTTCTTCGCCTCGTTCAACAGCTCGTCCAGGTCGGACTAAAAGAAACGAACATTGCAAGAAGATATGCAACCCACTTATCTTCTTTCGGAAATGTTCCATTGAATGATCATAAACCGATCGACACTCACGTGAAGAGTCTGCAGTTCGGCCTCGAGTTTCCTCTTGGCGCCGGAAATGGAAGCGTTCTGGGCGCTCAGTTCGTTCAGCTGTTCGTGGCAGTCGGCGAGTTCCTGCTCGGCCTGGCGACGACCGCGGTCCGCCTGTTCGAGGAGAGTGCGGCTTTCCTCGAGCTCGTTCTGCAGAGCGTTAGCACGGCGCTCCGAGATGCCGAGGAGTTCCCGGGCCTCGTCGCGCGCTCTCTGCTCCTCCTCGAGTGCGGTCTGCACGTCCTTCAGCTGCTGCTGGTATCGCTTGATGTTCTTCTGCGCCTCGGCGTTCGCCTTGTTCGCGTGGTCCAGCGCGATCTCCAGCTCGTTGATGTCCGCCTCCAGTTTCTTCTTCATGCGCAGCGCCTCAGCTTTGCCCTGAAAATCAAATCACACTCCAAGATCAGATGTGTCCTAATGCAATATTGCAACTGTTCGCGTAAAATTATTGTCCAGTTAAAAAAAAATGAAACAGATTTTCCAGAAATACGCGCAACACTCACCTTGGCCTCTGCTTCGAGGGAGGCTTGCATGGAGTCGAGAGCGCGCTGGTGGTTCTTCCTGGTGTTCTCGAATTCCTCCTCCTTCTCTTGGATGCGGCGGTCGATCTCCTGCCTGACTTGGCTAAGCTCAAGCTGGCTGCGCAGCACCTTGTTCTCCTCCTGCTCA